CAGCCAGCCCCCACCTGTGCACCAGGCCTCTATCCTATATAATAAAAGGGTAATATGCAAAATGACCCTAACAGCAGAACAACTAGTCACTATGACACACACTGACCACCAGGGGGAAGGCACTCTATGCAGGAGCTGCCCCCTGGTGGTCAGTGTGCTCCCACAAGGGGAGCTCTGCTCAGCCACAAGTTTAAATGACATATTAAAAAACAATTTTTGAAATAGCATGACTACAAGAAAAAAGATTATAACCCAGATAAGTAGAACATTAAACTAAAAGGTAGCTAAAATATATGCCATGATTCAGGGGTCCTCAAACTTTTTAAACACGGGGCCAATTCACTGTCCCTCAGACCGTTGGAGGGCCGGACTATAGTTTAAAAAGAAACTTTAAATGACATATTAAAAAACAATTTTTGAAATAGCATGACTACAAGAAAAAAGATTATAACCCAGATAAGTAGAACATTAAACTAAAAGGTAGCTAAAATATATGCCATGATTCAGGGGTCCTCAAACTTTTTAAACACGGGGCCAATTCACTGTCCCTCAGACCGTTGGAGGGCCGGACTATAGTTTAAAAAGAAACTACGAACAAATTCCTATGCACACTGCACATATCTTATTTTGAAGTAAAAAAACAAAATGGGAACAAATACAATATTTGTATTTGCATGTGGCCTGTGGGCCATAGTTTGAGGACCCCTGCCATAATTCATGTACTTAATAACATAACAATAGAATATTCAGAAGAAAATATCTACTCAGTTTTCCTGGAAATTATATAGATTTGGGAAAGAATTAACTAAAACAAAATGTGAAAACAGGTAATGGCCAGACTATGAAGGGCTTAGCCACTTCTACTTTATTATAAGCAATTATAAGCTAAATTTTGATGAATTTGGGATCCTTTTTTTTTTTGCCTCTAGTTTTTCTGGCACTCAATATTTTCAAATAAATGCAGTAATCTAAACAAATAATTTTAAGTACCACAAAAGTGATACTCCAGAAGATGATAAAGTTTATGGCTATGGGGCCAATGCTTTCTGTAGCTCAAGTCTATGATTCTAACCAAATTTTTCATCTAACACACTGTTCTATTTTGCCTCCAAATGCAGGTGGTTCTAATCAAGTAGGAATTAGATGAAAAGAATTATGATTTTACAAGATAAATTTTACTTTAGATCATTTCTAATAAGGAAATGACTGATTTCAGTTTTAACTGATGTTATATTTTACCTCCCACTTAATGGCATTATCACAAACTTTTTTCCATATACATAACTATTTCGTTTCCTTTCAGCGTCTGAGTAAAACTGATGAGAAAGGATTTGTGTCCACGCCAAGAGAAGCCTTTCTCTCATTGGTGCTCTCCAGTGAGTCATGCAGCAGACACGCTTTTGTTCTTCTATAAAGACCCAGTTTCATGGATGTAGAATTTAAATCAGCGATTCTGGAATGAGGGCTAATTAACTGAATAAACTGCAATTATACACAACATGATTGACCCTTATAAGAAAAAAAAAAAAAGGTTGACTAATAAAAGCAAAACACAAGAATATTTATGGCATTATTCCATTCATACATTCAAAAAATAAAGAAAAACAAATCACATTACTTAGAAACACATGCAGAGAAGGTGAAACTACTTCTACAATGCAAGGAAATGATTATCTCTGGGGAGAAGGGAAGTGATTTTTTTTTATTAAAAAGAGTTATGGAAGACAGCTTCTGGGGTGCTGGCCATGTTCTATTTCCTAATTTAGGCGGTAGATAAATGGGTGGTCACTTATTATATATAAGTTGTACATATACAACTGTACGTAAAAGATGCACACATGGCATAGCTCCTGGTATAAGCAGATGATCAATAAAGCCAACTATTATTTATGATGATATTATTCTGGCTACTACTGCTACTACAGGTTGGGACAAAAGTAGGTTTACAGTTGTTCATATGCAAAATAATACAATAATTAAAAAATACAAGAATAAACTTTTATGTACTCACAACTGTAAACCTATTTTTGCCCACCCTGTATTTTTACTGATATTACTACTAATTTCTCCTGTGTAGATTATATACACCCTCTGAAAAAAGTCAGCTCAGAACATACAGAAAAAATGTCTATATGTGAAGTAAACCTTCTTTATTTGTGCTATTTTTCTTTCAATTTCCCGTTATAATTTTAAATCTTTTTTTATACATTGTGCAGTATATTGACCACAAAACTTTGATAGAAACTAAAGTTTTTCCCTCTGTGTGAGTATTCTCACAGGTTCCTACCATGAACAGCAGCAGGAGTACTTGAAGGAAATAGCAGAAATTTGAGGAAGGGAGAAAACGTATTTAGTTGGGATGTTTAGAGGGCTGCATGGAAACAAGGGAATGAATAAGCTTTAGGTAGGAGGTGGGGAAAGCAAAGGACATTTTTGGAAAAGCAATTTAAAGCAGGAAAATTTGTTTAGGTGACAATGGACAAGTCTGACTATATGAACAATGGAGGGAGACTGCTAGGAAGACAGGTGAAGAATCAGATGATGGATGGAACTGACTGCTACATGAAGAATTGAGGAGTCTTTGGATGCTTAGGACATCTTAACTTGCTGAAGGCTTGTTTATAACTCTTTGAATGCAGAGATTCTACCAAATGACAGAGAAAGAACGAGTACATATTCACACTGTACACTTTGTAGTATGTAATTGATACCCTGATAAAGTCAATTTTTAAAATTTCAACAAGAAAATCAAGAATGCTCCCTTTACTGACAATCCCCCTACCATGTTTCCATGGTTCTATGGTGAAATGCATTCAAAGCCAAGCAGCCATAATTATTTATAAAAAATCTAATGTTCTCTCTACTTCTAGTTTGTCTAATCATATCTATCCTGCAGATCACTGCCAAATAATCTTCCAAAAGAATTCTTGTGAATTAGCTGTATCATCTGCTTTAGGCAAGTAAAAATGCTTCCCACAGCCTTTCCTCCAATAAAGAATTAACCCGACTTTAAGATCTTCTACAATTTGAGCTCAATCTACTGTTTTGGTCTATTTTTTCACTATTTTCTATCATAGATATATATCTTCAAACTCCTCTAGTCCTCTTTTCCTAAGCATAGTTACTTTGTCTGTTTCCAGTTTCCATGCCTATCCTTCAGGTGTTCAGTCCAAATGATATATTCCTTTGCACCTTATCTACCTACACTTCAAAATCTAGTTCAAATGCTAACCTTAAGCATGGAGTCTTTTCTGAAGGCCCTTTCAGGTATATTGGGTCTTTTTCATTCTTCAAACTTTACTGAAGTCTGTGCATATACCAGTAAGCTAAAATGCCATTCTTTATGTCATTAATAAGGGAATACTTGTCTTTGAGGAACTCACATTATCTATACCCACACATACATAACTGACTACAAATCATATAGAACAAGCTATCATAGGACATATTTAGCACATAGTAATTGCTCAATGAATACTTGTTCAAAGAACTATTATTTGCATATTATGAATATCCCAAAACTCATCTATATATATAAAAGCCTAAGCAACCATTACCACCAGATGACCGGATGACCAGCTGGTAGCTATGATGCACACCGACCACCAGGGGGCAGACACTCAATGCAGGAGCTGCCCCTGGTGGAAAGGGCGTTCCCACAGTCAACCTCCCGCAGCTGGCAAACTCCCTGCAGTCCCTCCCCATGGCCAGCCAGCTGGCTGGCCCTGATCGGCTGCTACTGGGACTGGGCGAGATGGCCCGGTAAGCCCCAATCACTGGCAGGCCAAGGGACCCCACCCATGCACGAATTTGTGCACTGGGCCTCTAGTTCACATAAAAGTATGCAAATAAGATGGTAATCTTTACAGATTTTTTTAAAAAAAGGAAATTTTACCTTTTCAGTTGTAAGAGGTTTTGCAGGCTTTTCTGGTTCCTTTTCTCTCTTTTTCTCTTCTTTTTTTTTTTCCTTTTCTTTCTAAAACACAGCCCAAAGTTTTGCTAAGTTTACTTTTTAAAAATTGTCAGCTCTTAACACATTTTATTAGTTTGAGTTGTCATTTGAGAAAGGTACAAATTTTCAATGATGACAATATCTGGTGATACTGAAATATAAAAGTAAAGAGCAAATTCATATTCTCAATGAGGTTATATATTGATGAATAAAAAACATCTTTTCTTGGCCCTCAGAGTTAGCTCAGTTGGTTGGAGTATCATCCCGATACTTCAAGGTTGCAGGTCCAATCTGCGGTTAGGATACATAGAAGAAGCAACCAATGAATTCATAAATTAGAGAAACAATAAATCAATGTCTCTCTCTCTCTCTCTCTCATATCAATAAAAAAAAATTTTTTTTAAGAATATAATTTCTTGCCCAGCTGGTATTGCTCAGTAGTTGAACATGGACCTATGAACCAGGAGATCAAGGTTCAATTCTGGTCAGATAGGGGGTATGCAGGAGGCAGCCAATCAATGATTCTCTCTCATATTGTTTCTATCTCTACCTCTCCCTTCCTCTCTGAAATAAAAATATATATTTTTAAAAATATATCTTTTCTTAAAAAAACTAAAATGGAGGTGAGACTTGATATTTTAGAATTTGCGTAATTAAACAAATGAGACCTCTATTCAATAAAGTCTCACTGCATCTTTACATAAGCTTCCTAACAGCTCCATAAAATTCAAAATTGAATAAAAAGAAAAAATAAACTAACTGATGAATACAATTCCTATCACACAGATAAAGACAGATTATAACATGTAAATATAAAGAGGAAAGGTATAGTACTATCACTTTTTAAGATGTCACAAAACATTTTCAGTCTATCACTACAGTATTGTGATTTTTAAAATGGCAAACAATTATTTTCTCGTGGAAAAAAAAGGTAAATATAGATACAGTATTTTGGGACCAGAGCCAGCTTAATAGTGTATTCCAACAGTCAAGGTAAACTATAATGGTATCATGATGTTCACAATTTGCAATTTCAAGACGGATGAAACAGGATATAATATTAAAAACTTAAGGACTACAAACATGCCAAAAAGAGGAAAATGAAATAAAAATTAACATGGATAAATGTTGAGAAGATCATGTTAAATGAAAGAAATAAAAAAGTTAAAAGCCATATGCTTTCACTCATATGTGGGATATAAAACTGAAAGCAACAAATAAACAAGAAAAAGAAAAACTCATAGACACAGACAACAGTATGGTGGTTACCTAAGGGAAGTAAGGTGGGGGAGTAAAAAGGATATATTATGGGGGTCAAATATATGAAAATGGTAGATTTGACTTTGGGAGGTGGACACACGCTACAATAGATAGATGATGTATCATAAAATTGTACACTTCAAATCTATGTAATCTTATTAACCAATACATTTAATTCCAAAAAAATCCTAAAAAAAAATAAAGATTAAACAAAGAGTATTATTCATAGGCATTACAGAGGAGAGAGATGTGTAGAAACCTAGAATTGAATGACTACTGCAACTGGGTACTGATCTAACCTTAGTTTCCTAGTAGTAAACACAAAAGTATAAATTGATGAACCCAGGTAAAGCAGAATAATAATCACACAAAAGTTAGTCTAAATGCCTAAAGGTTGAGTTTGCACCTGTGCCTTTAAAATGGTGTTTGACACAACCGCTTTCAACAAAAGAATTTTTGCTATTTGTAAATCAGAAAAGGCAATACTGGCAATTACTAGGCTATAACATAAGAGATTTAATAAAAGTTCCCATGGGCTAGGCAATATAATAAGCACCTTATTTTCTAATTTAATTTTTATAATAACTGTCTGGGGAAAAAAACTGTCATTATTGCTGTTTTACAAAGAAACAAAATCTTAGGAAAGTAAGGCACAAAGCAACACAGCTACTCAGTGGTAGGGTCATGGGACAACAGAGACCAAACTCTCAAGTCTCACTACTCAGTGTCATCCAGTTGAGCATTGTTCTTTGGTATCACTCTTCCTTACTACAGCCAACACTTACTGATCCCTTATCATATGCTAAACACTACTTTGACTCACTTAATCCTAACTTTATGAGGTAAATAACAGTATCCCTGCTTTCTAAGTGAAAAATAAATGAGATGTGCAAAAATTCTTTATCTATATATCTACATATATAAAAGCCTAAGTGACCATTCAACTGTTTGACTGGTAGCTATGACACACACTGACCACCATGGGGCAGATGCTCAATGCACAAGCATGGAAACATGGAACAGACTAATGATTCACAGAGGGAAAGGGGGAAGGGGAAGGGCAGGAAGAGATTAACCAAAGATCTTATATGCATACTAGAGGCCGGTGCACAGATTCATGCACCAGGGGCATCTCTCAGCTTGGCCTGCGGGGATCGGGCCAAAATCCCCCAAGGGGTCCCGGATTGCCAAAGGGTGCAGGCCAGACTGAGGGACCCCACCAGTGCACAAATCTGTGCACCGGGCCTCTAGTATATTATAAAATGCTTTTCCTTCCTTCCCTCTCTCCCAGTTGGCTCATTCCTCTGAACTGAAAGACCTGTATATCAACCACCTACTTAGACACCTGGATGTTCCACAGTCATCTCATAGTCAACAGATACAACTTTTAATTCATCTCCCTTTTCTCTTCTCAAACCTGTTCCTCCTCCTCAGCTTCTATCCTTTTCTCACTCAATATCATCATCATCTACTAAAATGCTTGAGACAGAAACTGGGAATCATCAAATCTTCCCAAAGTACCTCCATATTCCATTGATTACTAATTCCCACAGATTCTATCTTCTCAAGATTTCTTAACACATTGTTTGTGGGTAGTTTTTATCACACGCTAACAGGTGGCACGGTCCATTTTTGCAGTTGAATAGATTGAATACTGTTATACCTGGAAGTACATACATAATTCACCATTGTATGTGTTAGAGACCCAAATTTTGTCCTTTGGAATTCGTATATCTGCATGTTAGCATCCCTTTAGAGCAATAAAAAAGTATAAACATATTTATACGTTACCCGCATTCTACCGCTAATCTATAAAAAATGTATTAATACGTGTCCCACGCTCTACTACCAGTCAACATAAAACGTATAAATACGTTTCCCGCATACAATGTGTTAAAACTATAGTTTCCTTTTCATCCCCTCAGCCTCCATTTTAGCACATGCTCCCATCATTTTATTCATGGGTTATAACAGGTTCTCAGCCTTTTCCACACCCATCAACACAAAATTCACTCCTCACACAAACAGTGGAGCTGTGTTATGACATAAAAATCAGATCCGGTTACCCTTTTTATCCTTAGAACTTATTAAAGTGCCAGAGCCTTCGGAATGAACATCAATTACCTTCAGCAGGCTCACAAGAAGACTCCTCTCTGACTTCTGTCCCTATCCTATGCATGTTACAGCCATGTCATTTTATTTGCAAATCCCCAAACATTCCACTTTGCTGACAGATTTTCCCCCCACAAGAAGCTTTCTCTACTTGGAATGTACTCTCATCCTTATAGCTAATGTTTATTAAGAGTTTAAGATGCATCAAAAGTATGACTCCTGTATTAACTGCAGCACAATGAATGCATGTCAATCACAGCACACATTATGTTGTATTAGAAACCTGTAAAGTTACCTAGTTATCTATTTTTCATCATTAGACTACAAGCTCCTTGAGGTCAGGGGCCATATCTTATTTGCCTGTGTATCCTCCATCTCTAGTGCACCACTTATCAAGGTGTAGACACAGAAAAAGCGTTAGTTCAAACAATGTCTCAAATGAACTCATGATAACAAATGAAAAAAATAAAGAGTAAAAATTTTTTAAACCTCAAAAGTGTATAGGGATGGATTTAAAAATCCATAATGGGGTAGCATCATGTACCCTTAACCACTGCTACCCCAAACACAGTCTAAAATTATCATTGATTATTGTAAACTCATGATTCTATACTACATACATGACTATTACTAATGCTTAAAAAAAAACATTAACTGTCTTCAAGTGATTATAACAACAGAATCATAGAAACAAAACATTTTAATCAGATTTTACTAATATATCAAAGATTTCAACAGCAACTATTAAAAACGTTAAGTAGAAGGCAGTAATGGAAACAACAGAAGGTTAATTCCTTCTTAAATATTGAGATATACCTATGGTACAAATAAAACAGTGATTTTTAAATTAAATATAGATTAAAGCCCTTTAATCCTACCTGTGACATAGGAAAATATTCTAGAAATAGTTATATTTAACATATTTAATACTGAAGACCATACAAAATTTAAACAACTATTACAGCACTCCAAATTATGTATGGCATAATGAGAAAGGAAGTTAATTTACTACTGAACACTACATAACGTGCCTGGCTAAAATACTAGCATACCTCCAATTTGCTTTTCTCAACAGCAGCTTGTAGAGAAGGAGAGGCTACCAAAGGCTGAAGGGGAGCATCAGAGGAAGAAATCTGTGGAATCAGATGAAAAGTCAGGAGAGAAAAAAGAAGAAGGTAATCAGAACTGATAGGTACAAGAAAGAAACAAACAAAAAAAACACATGTATTTCTAAGATACAGAAGTACTTAGGAGTATGTTAACGAAGGAAAATAATGCATCAAGAAGAATGTACTGCTTTTTTTAAATTTCCACATAAAATTTCTTAAAATATTTATTACAGGATAGTGCATGATTAAAAATGAATTTCACTAAAATGTAAAATTTATTAAAACCAGGTCATACTGAAAGTACTTAAAAAATAATTAAGCTTTGCCTGGTATTCAATTTTAGTCAATATTTACTATTGAAATACTAATGTATGAAGACATATTGCTCCAAGTAGCAAGAAGGTAGAAATGAGTTTGTGTGTTTTTTAACTTATAGTAACTGTTTTAAGAATGGAAAATAAAACAGATCTGAAGTAGGGGAAATTAAAGTTTTAATCTACTGTTTAAGAAAACAGAAAATAAAAGGCCAGGATATGGAAAAAAGTGGATTAATGCAATATAACAACAAAGCAGCAGATAGACTTATAAAGCAATTTATACACTTCCTTCTTTAAGATCACACACAAACACTATTTCCAAAGCTGTACTTGCTGCATTACCCCAGAGCCTTATGAGACAGTTATATATGCAGCAGAGACAATTTATACATGAAAAAGGATTTCATCTAAAAGCCTTCTCACACATGTTCCTACTGAATTTCTATATATATGTAGTTGATCACTTTAATGGAAACATATCTTCCTGCTCTCTTTACTGCAAAAATATAACTGAAATATATTTACACAATGTGTAGATCTTTGGAGCCATAAAACTGACATCTATTACCCAATCACATCAATAGTGCCTATGAGGAATTTAAAAATTAAAGGTACTACTATAGAAAGGTCATTATGTAATGTCAAAATAACATTATGAGATGACAAATCCTCATTCAATCTGCTTAAGTTAGTTATGGCTGCAATTCCTGAATCACAATCTGAATTCATAAACCTCAGGGTTATTTTTTCCTTACACATTGTTGTACTTGTGCAAACGAGACATTTAGTGAATACTAATGGAAATTACACATAGAAGAAAATGTTTAAGAAATCAAACAGCATCTTAAAAGATGGCTTCAAAGCTGGTTTTCCCACTGGAAATTTATCTGCAAAAAATATTTAATCACTACATTATGCAGAAAACAAGAGATAAAAAAAAGCACATAAAAACACTTAGGATGATAACCTATCAAAAAGACCTTTTTGACCATGCCCTGGCTGGAGTAGCTCATCAGTTATAGGGTCAGACACACACTGAAGGGTCTGAGGTTCAATTTCTAGTCAAGGATTGCACGATCCCCATCCCCATCAGGGCACATGCAGAAGACAACCAATCAATGTGCTTTCTCACACTGATGCCTTTCTCTCTCTCTCTACCTCTCTCCCACCACCCTTCCACTCTCTCTAAAGTAAAAGTCAATGGACAAAATGTCCTCAGATGAGGATTGACAACCAAAAAAAGACCATTTTGCCCAAATTCATGTAAAGCTGGATATAAAAATATATGCGGGCCCTCGCCGGGTGCTCAATGGTTAGAGCATTGAACTGCAGACCGAAGAGTTGTGGATTCAATTCTGGTCAAGGACAGAGGTGACAAAAATATCCTGTACCAGGCAGTCAGACATACCTCTCACAGTCCGGGACTGCTGGCCTCCAACCGCTTGCCTGCCTGCCTGCCTGATTGCCCCTAATCACTTCTGCCTGCCAGCCTGATCACCCCCTAACCCAGCCGTGGGCAAACTACGGCCCGCGGGCTGGATCTGGCCCATTTGAAATGAATAAAACTATTGATAAAAAAGACCGTACCCTTTTATGTACGGGGCAACTGGGCCAGCAGGGGAGGGCAATTAGGGGCAACCGGGCAGGCAGGGGAGGGCAGCTGGAAGCAATCAGGCCAGCAGAGGAAGGCAGTTGGGGGCAATCGGGCCAGCAGGAGAGGAGTTAAGCGTCGATCAGGCTGGCAGGGGAATGGTTAGGGCAGGGGTGGGCAAACTTTTTGACTCGAGGGCCACAATGGGTTCTTTTTTTTTTTAAATATATTTTATTGACTTTTTACAGAGAGGAAGGGAGAGAGATAGAGAGCTAGAAACATCGATGAGAGAGAAACATCGACCAGCTGTCTCCTGCACACTCCCCACTGGGGATGTGCCCGCAACCAAGGTACACGCACTTGACCGGAACCGAACCTGGGACCTTTCAGTCCGCAGGCCAACGCTCCATCCACTGAGCCAAACCGGTCTCGGCAGGATCATGCTTTTAGAAAGCAGTGTTGAACAATCAGAAGTGGCTCTAGAGATGAAAAAGATCCCAAAGTCAAAGATCTAGGGCCCTACCAGCTAGGGCCCTACAGTCGGACATCTCCCGAGGGGTTGCAGATTGGAGAGGGTGCAGGCTGGGCTGAGTGACACCCCCCGCCCAGTGCACAAATTTTGTGCACCGGGCCTCTAGTGTGTGTGTATATATATATATATGGAACAGGTGCATTTAGTATGTTGAGGGTTAATTCAAGATAATTAACACTGGACATAACTACATAATGGAATTCCTAGTAATATATAAGATTAGGAATCTTATATTTACTTGCAAATCTATTGCCATGAAGAGTGAGAAAATAATTTAATCTTACTAAGATATAAACTTTAAAAAATCACCTTGCTTATTAATGATGAGGTATAATACATTATATCTTGGGTTAAACATGATTTTTGTGAACTCTACTGAATTTTCATTACATTAATAATATAAACTCAATTTATTTTGTTCATTAGATTCCACATATGAGTGAGATCATGTGATACTTATCTTTCTCTGATTGGCTTATTTCCTTAGCGTAATACTCTCCAGATCCAAAATAAACTAATGAACAAAATAGATCCAGAGGCATAGAAGCATGGAACAGACTGCTGAATCTCAGAGAGAATGTGGGGGAGGATAGGTGGGTGGTAAGAGATCAACCAAAGAGCTTGTATGAATATATACATAACCCATGGACATAGACAATAGGGAGATAATAGTGTGGCAGAGGCTTGGCAGGAAGAGGTACGCAGAGGAGGGGGAAAAACAAAGCGGAAATCTATAATACTTTCAACAATAAAGATAAATTTTTTAAAATAAACAATAAAATAATATAAACTCAAGAGTATAAAATCTTTTACCTTGAATTTTTATTTTCGAAACTATAAAAAATGTAAAAAAAATCATAGAATATCTCTATGAACTTCACTAATATTCACCAAAACTTAACAGTGTACCATGTTTGTCGCACCACTCCCCCGTCCCCTTCCCCTGTATCTCAGCTGCTAGGCTTCACTGAGCCGATTAAAAATGAGTTACATGTATTCAAAGAACATTTTGATGGTTGCCAAATGGGAGGGGACCTTAGGGATGAGTAAAAAAGGGGAACCGATTAAGATGTACAAATTGCCAGTTATAAAAAGTCACAGGGATGTAAAGTACAGCATAGGGAATAAAGTCAACAACACTGCGTGGTGTCAGATGGATTCTAAACTTATTGGGTAATTGCTTCATAAGATATGTAAATATCTAATCACTATGATATACTAGTACACCTGAAATAATATTGCATGTCAACAGTACTAAAATTTTTTAAATTAAAAACACTGAGTTAAATAACTCAAAAATGGCTCTAGTAGTGACAAAGACACTGATGTTGAAGATACATGTGAAGACTTTGAATAATCATTGCAATACTAAAGGCCTGGTGCATGAAATCTCTTATGATGTGCTCTTCATATATAAATTTGATGTTATTTTGCTGACTGCTGATATCACAAATTTTTTAAACATCAAATGAAAATATTTGCTTATATTCTGTGGCATATTATTAAATACTAGAGGCCCAGTGCACGAAATTAGTGCACTGGAGGGGAGGGGTCCCTCAGCCTGGCCTGCACCCTCTTGCAGTCCAGGAGCCCTCGGGGGATGTCCAACTGACAGCTTAAGGGAGTGGGCCTAAGCCGTCAGTCAAACATCCTTACTGATGCCATGGAGGTGAAAGAGGCTCCCACCACCAATGCTGCACTTGCCAGCCATGAGCCCAGCTTCTGGCTGAGCAGCGCTCCCCCTGTGGGAGCACAATGACCACCAGGGGGCAGCTCCTGTGTTGAGCGTCTGCCCCCTGGTGGTCAGTGAACGTCATAGTGACCAGTCATTCCACCAGCGGGCCGAATGCAAGAGGGTGCAGGCCAGGCCAAGGGACCCCACCAGTGCACGATTGGGGCCGGGGAGGAATACAGTAGGTTGGCCAGCCGGGGAGGGGCCACAGGAAAGCTCCAGGGTGTGTCCAGCCCATCTCGCTCAGTCCCAATCGGTCAGACCCTAGCCATGGTCAGTGCACATCATAGTGACTGGTCGACCGGTCAACTGTCTGCCCCCTGGTGATCAGTGCACATCATAGCGAGCAGTTAAGCGGCCTTAGCATATCATTAGCATATTACACTTTGATTGGTTGAACGAACGACCAGACACTTAGCATATTAGGCTTTTATTATATAGGATAGCATAGATGACAGTGAGAGAAAACAGTATTTCATCATTAATAGAATTTATGTTAGGTTATTTTTAGGTGTGTTTGTATAATTAATTGCTATATCAATATTCTGAATAGAAAAAATAAAAATGACTTATAGATATTATGACACTTGATCCCTAAATATTTTATTCCAAAATACATCTTTTATGATGAAGAATTTCTCTTAACTAAGTATTATACCATTATCACACCTGAGGGGGGAAAAAACAATTCCATAACAACAGCTATCATTTAAAGGTAAAACCGTTTTTGTATAGATTACTATATAAAAGTAATTTCCAAATTGTTCTCATGAAAAAAATATTATAAATATAGATTTAATTTAAAGGTTTTAAGGGGTGGGGGGAGGTAGAAGAGGGCATAGGGAGGATAAAGGGTGATGGAAAGAGATTTGACTTCGGATGGTGAACAATACAAACACAATACACTATACAGATGATGTATTATAGAATTGTACACCTGAAACATATATAATTTTATTAACTGTCATTCCAATAAATTTTTTTAAAGTTTAGAATATTAAAAAGAATGTATAATGTAAAAAAGCAGTATTCTATATAATAAAAGGCTAATATGCAAATCGACCGAAGGCAGAACGACCAGTCGCTATGACGTGCACTGACCACCAGGGGGCAGATGCTCTATGTAGGAGCTGTCCCCTGGTGGTCAGTGTACTCCCACAGGGAGAGTGCCACTCAGCCAGAAGCCCTGAGCCAGGTTCATGGCTGGCAATGCAGCGGCAGTGGTGAGAACCTCTCCCATATCCAAGGCAATCGGACATCCCCTGAGGGCTCCCAGACGGCGAGAGGGCACAGGCCAGGCTGAGGGTCACACACACACACACACCCCCACCACCACCACCAGTGCACAAATTTCGTGCACCGGGCCTCTGGTATTTTATAGAACATGCTAAAAGGATTTCTTAAAATTTCACATGAAAACATATTACTTGCTTTAAAGTTAGTCCCTTTTCCCCATAATGCTATAACTAAACTTAGTTATCACACTATAATTGTCATTCTCAATATTGTCAATTTTTGTCAGTCTTTCAAAAGATTTCCTCTCCTACATTCATTGTAAATGCAGACCAAACTCTACACACAGGGTATCTTTGCTCAAAAATACACATTGACAATATGTTAGAACATTTTTTAACAAGATTTTTTCATTGTCAAAGAGAATATATTAAAATATCCTTATTTTGTTAGTATTTGATTAAATTTTTTAGAATATTGCTTCTCCTTATGGACTGAAAAGAAAAACCAGTTTGCATGTAAAATGAGATGAAATCATTGTCTCTAAATTGCTTTCCAGACTTAACCACACGTTTAACTAACTTAAGCTTGCTTATTAATCTAAAAATCAAAGGCCAAAAAAGTGATTGCATCAATAAAGAGAATTAGTCTTAAATTATAACTAACTGGAATGGGAAAATATAATCAGGGAAAAAAACATTTAAAAAAACAGTGATAAATCATATTTGATCACTATAGTAAGGTTCAACTATTAGTTATCAAAAGGCTTGATAATAACCAATGAACAGGTTCACTAAAGTCATTAGGGGAGGATAAATTGACCTTTTTATTTTACACAAATTTCCAGAATGTAGTAAAATAATTTCCTCATCCCCTTTGTTCCATTATTGGCCTTATCTTTTTTATATATAAATTTCATAAAATTAACTTAATTAAACGCCATTTAGGCAGTTATTAGACTCTTAGAATATGCTCCTTTCTAACTCAAGAGTTCTGCTACAGGAGAGCTCATTAACATATTTGACAAAAAGTTCCAATATACAAATTTGACAAAGTATATAACTAGTTTATTTTTACAATAAATAAATTGAGCGGTATTAGATGTTAAAGTTCAAGATCTATGGAATAAACTTAAATTAGTGACAGATGAAGATTTTACTTACATTTGTAACAGCTATAGCATTTTTATCATAGTATTTCTTCTTTTCGTATTTATCTCTGATGAAAAATTCCACTGCTCTGAAAACAAATAACTTAAGGAAAAGCATGAGCTCAGTGGCATGTACACGCCCTTTGATTCATTCCTCTCCACAAAGTTTAAATTCTAAATTCATTTTTCCTACTCCTCAGTCTATGTTTTCCTCTCACACTATTTCTATAACTAAACTCTATAATCTACTTTTCTTTCTACCAAAAAAGTTGGTCTCTTTCAAGAAATTTCCCCCAACCAACAAAACCACTCAACCCAATTCTAGAAAGGAAAGTAACTGTATTTCTCAATTCCATGATATTCCTAAGCTCAACTCCATCTTCACCATCCTCTAAACTCAATAAAGGTTCGTTTTGGATTTTCAGTATAAAGAAAATAATCAGTACCCACAGTAAACCAGACATTATGTGTTGTCCATAGTTTCTTTCCTTTAATCCTTCCACAGCCCAGTAATGTGTATATTATTATTTTCACATCATAGATGAAGAATCAGGAACTGGGAAATATCGAACGATTGAGACTGTACTAATTATATTTTTTCCCAATATACATGCTGCCTCTAAGTGGTGGCCAATTTTTTTCTCCCCCAAATCTGAGAAATGGGGGAGAAGTCAAGAAGCTAAAGCCAAGATTACTGCTATTTAATGTTTTTGAAGGTGGCTAAATTAGCCTTTCGTGTTGATGGAGTGAGCCACTTCTAGTGGGATTTGAGAATTGGCGGTTATCTGATATCGATGACTTCTCTTGCCACTCAATTACTGCTTTATCACTAAATGGAAATTCTTCCATCAAGGATTCTTAACCTTTTTAGTACCATGAACCCCACAGGTAAAACCTGTGGACTCCTTTCTGTGACTCTTAATGCATAAAATAAAATACATAGACTTATGAAGGAAATGAATCACTCTGAAATACAATCTGTGGATCCCCAGGTTAAGACATTCTTCTGTTCAAAAGAAAAGTTACCTAAAGCAGTAAAACAATATACTTTCAGTCAATAACTCCATATTAGAAGTTAACAAAAGCCGTTTAAAAATTGACAGTTGAGGCAACAGATAATAGAAAGAGTTAACAGATCACTACCCAGTGGATATAAAAGAGCTGAGGCATTATGAAAACACTCAAAGGTCTTTCATAATGGCAAGACAGAAAATCTAAACATTCAATTTATTAAAATAAGCGAAATGACTGAAGCTGACTTTTAAAGATAATTTTCTACAACCTATGTCAAAGGCACTTTACATTATCTTTTTTTCTCCTCTTAACCTATAAGGTAAGTGCCATTTACATCTAAAACTGGGGCACAGAAAGTTTTAGAAGTTCTCTGGGATTCTACTAGTACAGTACAAAAGAGAGTTGTGATTCAAAACTAGGAATGTCTGATATCCACCTTTTCAGAATGTTACTGGTCAACACAAGTTCATTTGTGAATCAGTCTGTTAATTTCTGGTAATGATAATACATGCTTTAAAATCTAAAGAAGAATGTCAATTTGAAGGGCACCTTTATTTTCAAAGTAGCCTTGGTGACCCTTTCAAGTGTAAAGTGCCAGGGCTGCTAAAAGGCTGCTTATTTAGGTATGTGAGCATTTTGGCAGCCAATTTTATACCAAAAATTAACAAGTATGCCAAGATTTTCATAAAATGCAATGTTATATTTACATAAATTGTTTTACATGTATATCAGCTAAATGTTGTTTTGTCATAACTATAAATCTAAATTTATATTATATTTTTCTAACAAAAAAATGATGAAACGATCAAAAAAGCTGGCCCTTTGTGGATGAACTGAGCAATTTCATTGTAGAGACAACTTTTATCTCCACAAATGGGAAGAAAAAAAAAGAACAGACTTATTGTGAACAATAAGAGGTCAATAAGTCATATAAATATGACCATAATTCATAAATGCTTTAGAAGTAATCACATTTAATTTGAAAAATCAAATAAGCATTCTTATTTCTTCTAGGGCGCAGACTAATGTTTCCAGTTACTAAATGGGTATCTCTAAGTACAGTGGGGCCTTGGCTTACGAGTGTCCCGACTAACAAGTTTTTCGAGATACAAGCCGTCTCTCAGCCGATTTTTTGCTTTGAGTTGAGAGCTAAAATTTGGGTTAGTATATGTCCAACACACACCTCAACCTGCCCAAAGTAATAAAGCACAGCTCATTATCTTTCATTTCTAACCCTTAAACTTTCATTGGTACTGAATTCTTTCTCTCCACTGAATTTCATAGAACCTCAGCCAACCTAGAAAATCTGGGGTCATCTCAGTATTTTTCTCAGAAACAAAGCCAATCTAAACCTAACTCAACTGCTCCTACTCCCAAATTTCCTTCTAATCTTTCCAATTGCCTACTCTCCATTTTCAATGTCACCATTTAATTTATACCTTGTTATTACTCACTTCAGGTCTATACTAAGTATTCTACATGGTCTCTCTGACTCCAAGATCTCCTTCAACTAATCTTCCTTGTGGAGAAGGTAATGTTTTCAGTGTTTCTCCTGCTTCAAAATCCTTTGAGGTTTTTCAAATCCTTCAACCATTTAGGCCAACGAAATGAGGTCTAAACTGCTCAATATAGTATTAAAAATTCTTCATAATTTGGAAAATAAGCTTCTACTGCCACTTAACCCACAAATCTTGTCAAGACCTTAAAATGTTATGTTTCTTTACACTTTAATACTTCTCATACAATTTTTATGTCTGTAATGTACCTCCCATTCTTACCCTAGAATCTTGCTATAATACAAATGGCCTTGGATACCATATTGCTAAATTTGTGGGAAGGAAGTGGGAAAGCAGAAACAGAAAAAGTCAAAAACAAATACTAATTTTTTAAATATAACTTAAAAGATTTCTACATAAATATGAAAATATATATAATGACTTGTATCTCATGTGTGAAAAGATCATCTTTTTTTTCACTGTTTGACCATACAAACTGTTTTGGTGCACAAGTGGATAACATATAACTAATATATAACTGATTTTTAAGAAACTATATTTTACTGCAAATGTCACCTATGGATAGAATCACAAATACCTATAATGAATTAGATATTAATATTTATAGAGCAGCACAATTGTGATGTTGCTTTCTCAAACTTCAATATGAGTTTAAGAAATCCTACAGAATCAAAAGTTTATCTTTAGCAACTGTGAAAATATCCTAATTAAAATGCCTTTGAGAAAATATTCTATTCATTCATTAGAACAGATTTGTAAAGTAAACACAGTTGTGCAGCCTATGCAAATATGGAATGTCAGTAGTGAATATCAGCATAAATTACTTCAGGACTCCACTTACACTAAATATGTAATTTGCCATTTAAATGTATGCATGCCAAACTACTTCACATAAATATAATTACAATATAAAGGTGATCAAAGAAAATCCCTTTGGAAAAGATTTTTTTAAATGTTCACGATATACACAAATAAATCGCTAATAAACAGTCTAAAACAGTGATGGCGAACCTTTTGAGCTCGGCGTGTCAGCATTTTGAAAAACCCTAACTTAACTCTGGTGCCGTGTCACATATAGAAATTTTTTGATATCTGCAACCATAGTAAAACAAAGACTTAATATTTTTGATATTTACTTTATATATTTAAATGCCATTTAACAAAGAAAAATCAACCAAAAAAATGAGTTCACGTGTCACTTCTGACACGCGTGTCATAGGTTCACCATCACTGGTCTAAAATAAACTCTCCAATCAAGAGGTGGAAATCGCACCCCTGGCTAGGAAGCTCTGCTGCTTAGAACATTGGCCCAATATGCCAAGGTTACAGTTTGATCTCCAGTCAGGGTAAATACAAGAAGCAACCATTTAAATAAGTGAACCAACAAATTGATCCTTCTTTCTCCCCCAACCCCCGAATAAATAAATAAATAAAATTTTAATGAAAAATAAAAGAAATAGAGATCAAGAAGAAAAGGTATAATATTTTATACTTAGTAATAATTACATAAAAATACTATGTAGATCATGTATTACTAGATTCCTACCAAAATTTACTAGATACAAAGCACAGCCCAGGACAAAGCAAGTTTTATTTTTAATGAGCAACAGTATGATAAAGTTCACACCTTCCACATCTTCCTAAGCACAGTTAAATATGAACTATAAAAATAAGTTCATTCTTTACAAAACCACAATAAAGAAGTATTAAAGGATACTGATCTGTCTGTGGTCTTCGAAAGTTCTCTGGAAGATTGGCTTCATAGAGTAGTCTTGCTTTAGTATTTCCCATATCCTGCATGCACTATAATAAAAACAAAAATCAAGTATTTGCATTATTCACACGAGCATTTAAAAGTAATTCCTGCCTGGTCAGTGTGGCTTTAGTGGATGAGTGTCAACCTATGAACCAGGAGGTCATGGTTCAATTCCCAGTCAGGGCACATACCCAGGTTGCAGGCTTGCCCTCAGTGTCAGGCGTGCAGGAGGCAGCCAATCAATTATTCCCTCTCATCATTGATGTTTCTATCTCTCTCTCCCTCTCCCTTCCTCTCTGAAACAAATCTACCTATATAAAACCCTAATATGCAAATCGACCAAATGGTAAAACGACAGTCACTATGATGCACACTGACCACCAGGGGGCAAACGCTCAACGCAAGAGCTGCCTGCAGGCCCCCCAACTGGCGGCAGGGGGCGGGGCCGGCAAGTGGACAGCACCAGACCAGCCAAGGTGGGTGCAAGTGGGGCCCCAATTACCCCGCCAGTCACCCCACAGATCGGACCTGATCACCGCCCAGGCCTAGGGGCCCTACCCGTGCATGAATTTCATGCACTGGGCCTCTAGTAAAAATATTTTTTTAAAAAAGTAATTCCTATACACACACATATATACATATACAAGGTAACATTTATTTCCAGTACATATACTTCTCTTTAAAAAAAAAAAATCTAAATCACAATTATGAAAGTACTATGTTCAAAATAAAAACATATCTCTAATCCTTCACATTTTTTTAAAAATATATGGATCCACAGTTTTCTAATGCCTTTTTCTGTGCATATAACAGCATCTTCATTTATACTCACTATTTCCTACAAGTGAATTCCTAGGGTTGTTCATGTGCAGTAATATTGTTTTAAATATACTACTTGAACAACACTACCATTTTCAAAGTAAACAACTCAAGATCAAATTTTCTTTGTTTTGATTTTCAAAATATTCTGGGGTTTCATGATTTATACTCAAGATCACTATGGAAAGGAGATAAAAGAGAAAGAGTGCTGACCTAGAACTCTACATAAGTGGATTGATATCTTTGGAGTTATTAACTTCTTTGAGATTTTGCTGAAAGCTATGGATCTGCTCCCTACCAAACAAACAAAAAAACTGTGCCCAATGGCCAAATTTTACATACAAGTTCAGGAGTTCATAGAACTTCATCCCTAAAATCTATAAACCCCAAGAGTTTTTGATAATAATTTCAATCAGTTTAATTACATTTCAGTATCATCTATGAGTAAAGACTAGCCAAACAGTACTTCCTGGATAGTCTATTACGTTAGAAACTAAATTAACATTTACCAAAAAAAGCGTTATTCTATTATTATTTTACATTATTTGCATATGGCTTGAGTCCCTTAAAATGTTTTAATTGGTAGAAAACCCGTTTTTATTATAATTCCTTTTATTTTTCTGGTTTCCTGGACATCCACTCCACCTCTCAGCTCTCCCCTCTCCCCCACACATCCTGGAAAAGGCAATTCAGATTTAACAATTACTGAATGCTGACCTTGAGTTGTAGGCCTCAAGGATACAAGGAGTTTATCTTCCTTCAAATAAAAAAATAGTGACATTTCTTCCAACTCAGAGTTTTAATGTATGCAAAATACTAATATACTCTAACTTATGGCTCTCTACTCCACCCCACCTCAACATACATATTCTCTCAAATTAAACTTGATTTTTAAGTCATTCTTCTAGAGACAATGAGAAAGTAAAGTAATAGGGGGCTGGGCAATATAAGGGAATAGTAAACCAAAAAATAATTTTTGTGTTTTTATTTAGTTTTAAAGAAGGAAAAAACAGAGGCTAAGGCAAAATAAACCCAGGCTCCAAACGTGTATCCGATGCTAATAAAATATCATATGTCAACTATAATTTTAAAATAATTGTTTAAAGTATATGAGATGAGGAAGACTGTATAAAGTGAACTGACAAAACAGGGTGGAGGACTATATTACATTATGACACACCCTACCTGGAAGTTAGTTATGCATAGAGCTAATATGTAATTCTGTGTGGCAGAAGAGTTGAGAAATTTTCAGTATAGGTTGTTCTTTTTGAAAAAGAGAAAAAATGTTTCCCATCTCAAATATTCAAATGATGCTGAATCTTTGTGACATGGTGGGAATTTGAAAGTAGAGTAGAGATAATCAAGATAATAAAGACATTAAACAATTAGAAAGAATTAAACCAAGAAAAAATAATTTCTTAATTGGCACCATATATGCATAAAGTAACTTCGAAACAGCTCACAAAAACTATGAAAGTAAAAAAAATTTGAAAAGTATATCAAGCAAACAATATATAGAAAGTTTACCAAAAAAATTAGTAAGACTAAAAACAGGATCTACTATACATGCCACATTTCACTGACCCTGTTACATTTTTCTTCATATTTTAACATGTATGAAATAGTAATTTATCTTATAATTAATGTTATCTTATAATAAATAATTTCTTTCTTAGTCTGTAAAATGGAGGTGTACTTTACAATCAGCAATATCTTATATTCAATGATAGGACTATACATATTACATATATTCTTTAATGTAGGTCATTACACTTTTTTGGCAAAAAAAAAGATATTTAGGAATAAGGCATACGTGTACATTATACCAAACTGATGTTAGATTAGGGATGCTATCCATCACAATTAGGAGGAAAAAAAAGAGGTATAAAATCTGAAAGGGAGTAGTGATGTGAACTAGTATGTCATTTCTACAAGAGACCACTACAAAAAACTGACTGGGTGCAGGTGCATGGGTGTGTGGTTGTTAGTTGGGACAGGGGGAAACAATGATTCAATGACATCAGCAATGTAGAAGGATCATTTTGTAAGAAGGAAGATATTAGTGAGCTCAGATAATATCTAAAAAGCAGAATACAGCAGAAGGAAAGTCAGCAATGAAAATTTCAGTAGAGTTATTAGAGTAAACAATTTGGAGATTAAAACCAGGGAAAATAAACAATAGGAGAAGGCATTTTGAGGAAGTAATGGAGTATGGTACAAACTAGTTGTTCAAAAGTATCAAGACACTACAGGTAAGGGCCCTATAGGACACTTTAGAAAATTTATTCTATTGTTCTTGAAGAGCAAACTCTGTTGTCTGGTAATCAGCAGAAAATAATAAAAACATTCTAATGACTACAATGATAAACATTACTTTCAATACTTTATTTTTATATATAAACTAGAGGCCCAGTGCATGAAAATTCATGCACTGGAGGAGGGGTCCCTCAGCCCAGCTTACCCGCTCTCATAGTATGGGAACCCTCAGGGGCAGGAGGCAACCTGGTGATCAGGGGAAGGCGACACCCCATCACACCTCTGTTGCTGCCACTGCCAGCAGCACAAGCCTCGGCCGGCCCTGGTTACCTGAGCCTCGGGCAGCCCTGGGCAGCTGGCAGCCGGACAGCTGCCATCCAAGTCTTACCTGTGCCTTGGGCCGGCCCTGGGAGGCTAGGGGGCTGAGGGGACTGGGGGGTCCCCGGAGGCAGGCGCGCACAGCAGCTGGCCTTGCCACACACCTGCTGCCCCAGTGGAGCTGAGGGGACTGGGCGCCACCATCTTGTGGCTGTGGGCACCGCCATCTTTGAGGGTATGACAGCAATTAGCATATTCCCTCCTTATTGGCTGTGGGCGCTGCCATCTTTGCAACGGCGTGAGGGTCAATTAGCATATTCCCTCTATTAGATAGGATAAGATATTATAAACTGTATGCCCAATATACAGTATATATATTATATACATTGCATATACATATATGGCATTAAAATGTGATTGGTGTGTGTGCAGGAGGCATCAGTAGTTTAGATATCTCAGATTGCATCTAACAAAACTGGACACTACATGCTGCAGGGCTTACAAACATCAGGCTCTTTGCTTTAGAGCAGCAGTTCTCAACCTGTGAGTTCCAGTCCCTTTGGTGGTCGAACGACCCTTTCACAGGGGTCACCTACAACCATCCTGCATATCAGATGTTTACATTACGATTCATAACAGTAGCAACATCACAGTTATGAAGTAGCAACGAAAATAATTTTATGGTTGGGTCACAACATGACAAACTGTATTTAAAAGGCCAGAAGGTTGAGAACCACTGTTTTAAAGGCTCACAATTCTAGGAAATGGAAGCAGACAAGAGGTTATATGTGGAAGACCACCTATTGTTTTCACTAGCTGATAAGCATAGACAGAGACACACCCCCCCCTGCCCCAGGCTGGGTGCCTTTGAAGCCCTAGCAAAGGTTGGAGCTAGGCGCCACCTCTGTTTGTCCAGACAGTGGTAGCTGAAGCAACTTCCCTATTTATTATTATGTAAATCCTTGCTGATTAGCTAGTCTGCCTGTTGCAGGGGTCACCAGCCTAAGGGCTATGCTATGGGTCTCTGCCTGTTGCAGGGGTCACCCGCCTAAGGGCTATGCTATGGGTGTATCCCAGATCAATAAAAGCTTGGTGAGACCTGAGCACAGGTGGAAGTCCTTCCTCCTGAGTTGGACTTACTCGCCTGGTCCCCCAATGTTTCCAAATTATCTCGTGTCTTTTCTCTTTCGTTTGTGTGCGGCTCCTCTTCCAGGTCCTAAACCCTGATCCACAAAGGACGTGGAGGGAAATATTTACCAACAGTTATATGATTGCTCTACTGGATAATACAATGAATCAGTTACAGAGTTGAGACTAGGATCAAATTTTTTCAGTCCCAATTCTTATTGCCATGCATCAGCTAGTCAAAGGAAGTATCCAGGAAATGTCAACATAAAACAGAATACTTAAGTGTTGCCTCCATTATTAAATCATCATTCCTGTTATTAAAACATTACTTCTTTAAGGTCTCCCATCAAAAATGCTTTACAAAAATGCACTGACAGGAGAATTTTAGTTGCTTATTCTCTGGCATTTATAATTCAGTTTTCCAGAGCTGGGACGAGCAGAGTGGTTGCAAAAAGAAAAAAAAAAGGGTGGGGGATCTGAAAAGGGGCATATACTTCTTTTAAATAAATTGCCATTCAGGTAGAGC